AAATTAAATTCGCATAATCTACGTATATTTCAATTACACAAACTCGTTAAGATGTACTTTGATGTTGAAAGATGGCCTCAATCTTATGAAACCATCGTTTCGTCATCATTATATATCTTGATTAGAAAACCATCCATCGTTTGAGAAGCATGTACGTATATATAGCAATTAGAAAAATAGTTCATTAGCTTTGCAAACAATAATTTTCCTCAAATATGATCAAATCTGACCTTCATTTGATTATCTATACCTATAGAAACAATAACCTCATTAATCTTTTTGAGTGTTGTTAACTTTGATTCTAAACTTGAAATCACTGACATGTTTAATGGCGCCAAACTTTGATTAGTTTTCGGCATTGATGATTCAATAACTTCTTGTTGTTCTTGGTCGTCGATGGTTCAGTAACTTCCTAGATTTTTTTTTTTTTTTTTGATGAACATCAGTAATTCTGGCTATTAATGCTACCATTAACAATATTTTTCTCCTTTCATCGATGGTAGCCTTCCCAACGATCAGTGCTACCATTATCTTTTTCTTTCTCATCTCTTTTAAGCTTATCAATTGGAAAGCAGAGATTTCGTCGTAGATAAAATTCTCTACGTCAATCTTAACTCAATGACCACACTTGAATTATATCATTAATAAAAAAACTTATTCTTTTCTCTCTATAATCTTCTTTCAATCACTATTTAACACGTATGAAAAGCTTTTTGTGGACTTGCACTTGGCAAAATCTAATTCATCATGCATTTTCAAACTATGACCACTTATGTTCACTCTTAGTGATCCATAAAGCTTCAATTCTTATTTGTGTTGTTTAGTGAGAAATTTCTCATCAACCACTTGATTCTCTAGCCTCAAGAGATGGTTATGATGAATGTTCAAATAGTAGCTAAATTTTTTTTATGTATTATTAGTTTCGCTTGATAACTGCACAAAAAGTGAATCATGTCTTGAATTCTATTGGCAAGCTGAGTAGAAAAAAAGGACTCGATAAAGATGGTCACATGCTCACTCTCTCTGATGTTTTCCTATGACTTTTCTTCAACTATATTACTTTCTCTTCGTAATACTTTTTATATTCATCTTGATCTTTGCTGCCTCCGAAACCATGATTATGCCTTTCCTAAGCAACTTTTTCTTCATCACGATTTGTCAATTTTGCTTTCTTTGGTTTGCTTTCAAACTGAATGAACTCCATGAAAACTATCTTTGTTAGCAAATCAATTTCTTTGTTCCGGTCTCTTGCCACTGGTTTAATCTTTTCCAAAATTTTGATAAAAGACTCAAAACTACGCTTGTAAATCTTTCCATATCTTCACAAATCATCGCCATCTTTGTCTTGTTCTTTAGTTACTTGGAATTCAAGAAAACTTAAGTTCTTAATTGATTAAGTTTTGAAACAATGAACTAAAAGGAGAATCAAATAATTTTACTTGGATAAAAGTTTGAGAGAGATTCTTCGAGATATAGGAAAAACCCTTTCCTTGGTGAATAAGCAAAAGAATTAGGTGTTCTTAAACCTACAAAAATTATGATATACTAAACAATAGCTTTTCTATTCTTATTTCACCTGGTTGAAAATAAAACATATTTTTGGTAAACATTATTAAGATATTGAGATTTCTTACTTTATTGCCTAAGGTTTTTTTTTTCCTGTCTAGTATGAGTTAATACGAATTTTCGAGTCCAAACAAATTTGTTCTTTGAATCCACCATGACGTACCGAAATTTTGTGATGAGGAATAATGCCTCATTTTCCCCTTCACTCTCTTTGGTGGAGCTCTCAATTGGTATTGTCATCTTGAACTAATATGATAGATTCCTTTGCTGAGCTAAGGAGACTTTTTGTGGCTTAAAACCTTCCAAGATGATCGCTTACCAAAAGTTAGACGATTCATTGTGTGAATATGCCGATCGTTTTAGCCACAAATACTTTCTTTACACTGAGGTAAATGACAAAACAACACTCGGAGCCTTCACAGTAGGTATACAGGAATGCTTCTTCAAGTACACGACCAATGCTAACACTTGAAAAACACTATAAGGTTATGACGCAAGCTTACAATCATGCACACTGCATATGTTTTGATCATCAACCGTTTGGTTTCCTTTGTAACACGTCTTTTGACAAAAATTAATGAAGAGGAACTCAGACAACTTCGTGTAACTCTTTTACATTCCTAACACTGGAAACTTGGTCTCACTCTAACCTAACTCTATACTCTTGCTCAGAGCTTCAACATGCATACTTTAACACAAACAAATGACCAAGTGGTACAACCAATATGGTTGGTCAAGAAAGCAACATTAAGCCCAAACCATGGGTCACATATCCAAACAATACATAGCAAAACATTCATAAGCAACACGCATGTCATTAGCATTACTTTTATCATAAGCATCACTCATATCATTCAGCATAAACATTATACATTTCAACACATTACTACATAAGGCAATTGAGCTTCAAAAGGGTGTCAACACACTTTTTTTGCCCTTCGATACATGCTACAATGTGCCTTTGCAAATCGCCATTATTATTCTCACCAGCTAGATGATAAAGGAACTCACAATCGTAACACTATTTAGGTGATGATAGGTACAACCTGTACTCTAGTAAACAATTTTGTTCTTCGGTAACTTGCCACTCTTCCCACCAACCAGGTGATGAAGGGTACAACTCGTAGTCTAATAAACAATTTTTTCCTTCAACAATTTGCCAACCAGGAGATGAAGGAACTCACATTCGTATCACCAACTAGGTGATGGACGGTACAACTACTATTTTAATAAACATTTTTGCATCAGAAAATAATCATTCTTCCTATCAACTAGGTGAGGAAAGGTACAACACGTACCAGTGAACTATTAGCATTCACAAATAACCGCAATCCTGCAGCTTTACAACTCAAAAAAAGCATAAACAAGCTTAACTCAACTCAACTCAACTACAAGTATGAAGCTTCACAAACTTTGAAGGATAGAAGCTACAAGTTTGAAACTTCACACTCCTATGGAGGATGGAAGCTCCAAGTATGAAACTTCACACAATTTGAAGGATGGAAGTTATATGTATGAAGCTTCACTCACCTATGAAGGCGGAAAGCTTTACATATTTATGAAGGGTAGAAGCTTCGCGTACCTATGCAAGTGTGAGCTTTGCACACCTTTGTTTACTGCAAAACTTAACAAAGCCTCTCGCATTGATGCTCACAAGTGTGTGAAGCAAAATCTATTTATGTGTTCTCTTCAACAATTTTTCTTCCTAATCCCTTAACCTTGGACCTAGTAGCCAAACCAAAAAAAAAAAAAAAAGGATTTGGGCTGCCACTCAAGGAGTGTCAAATGTTAAAAAAAAAAAAAAAGAGCAAAGAAAGGAAAAGGATGGATCTTTGATCCCTCGGCGACTTGACAAAAATCAAGACACCTCCTTCGGCTACCCTCCTTGCTCGGAGACTTAGGGGAACTCCTATTATATGTTACTACACTTCGGCACTCAGAAGTTTTGTAATTAGTAAGTGACTTGGATTTTACAAGTCTCAAACCGAGAACTTTTCCTCACTCAGGAACTTGGGGGATCGTTTCATACTTCACCTATCCCAAAACTTTCGAGAATACCTTCAGACACCCACTAAAGGATTCTTGTTGAGGCACCCATGCCAAATCACAAGACTTTCTCTCCAACTAGGAGGCCAATTACAATGTTACACGTGTCAATATCAGAATAAAACTCCTAGAGCCCCACATCAACTGCGGAGGAAAGTGTGCTACTCTCCTCAACTATAAAAAGAGACTCTTCTTTTACAATTAATCTCTAATGCCATTATTCTACTTAGAACTCACTAGTGATGATTATGTTTAAACCTTTGTATCATGTAAACTCTACTTTATTAATGAGAACTCCTCTACCTTGGTGGATGTAGCCCAACTTAGGATGAACCACGTACATCTTGTGTTTGCTTCCTATCTCTATCTCTTTACATATTATCTACACTTGGTGACTGAAACAACTTGCGAAGGTCATACGTTTACACTCTATGTTATTCCAAAGTATATTTGGTTCTGTGCATCAACAAGCGCATAAGATTAAACTGCAACACAAGAATTATTGAGAATAACAAATACTACTTATATATGTTGATCAAAGATTGAATCTTTACTTATATATATGTCTTGCATATAAATTAACCAACAATGTTATATCTAACACTACTGCCTTAATTCCATAACTGGCAACTAGCAGCAAGCACATACACAACCATGCCACATTTCATATCCCAAACGATCAATCACACCACTTTCCTTCTTAAAATGTTCCCTCAAATATTATAAATTAAGTAGCAATGATAGGAGGATAGGAAGCGTGCGACAGAAGCTCACTGCGATCCTCCAATGCTTAGAATCGTTGATGGAGTAGATGGGGGTCGTGATATATAGACTGCAGCCTGCAGCACATCACTACCAGAGGAAATGCCATTTTATATATGGTTTGGATAGCTGAACAGAAAAGCTTTGTTCTTCCATTGAAACATCTGAGAAATGATCAATGCTAAGAACCACAGGGCGTATAACTGCAAAAGATTTCATCACAATACAAAGTCATTAATACATGCATAAGGGTTACTTGTAGTTAATTAGCGTGGCCTTGAATTAAACTAGCCAGTAATGTGCAACAAGATTAAACCTCATATAATGTCAAGAAAAAATTCATTCCTTAAAAGTATGAATTCCATCGATCCATCTTCAAGATGTGATACGTCTAAATATTACGTGCAGAAAACATTTGCCAATGGTCATATACGGAAGAATGTATACGTAAGAATAATCACTTATAACCATACAATCCTTCCTAAATATATGAACAAAAAACTCCTTCATAAGTTAAAAGTTAAAAGGATCTACAAAACAGAAACAGCAGTCTCAATTTTCGCAAGTGTTACGCTTCTAAACTTGATACTGACATGTTGTCTAGTGGCTCCAAACTCCAACTGCTTCTAGGTGGTGGATGATTCGATTACTTCCTGGCTGGCACTCACACTACAACTACTACTACAATCGTTTCCATATTTTTTCTCCTCCTCATCTTTCTTTGTCATTGACGATTCAGCAGCTTCTTGCCTATCAATAGTACTCGTACTACCATTAAAATCATTTTTAAGCTTAACCACTGCAAAGCGGATAGATTCTTTTTTGGCAAGCTCGGGATCATTAACTCAAAAAAAACCAAACCTGAATCGTATCCCCTATCTTAAACCTAACCTCCTCATCCGTAGAAATTGAGTTCCAACCCCTGTTTAAGGAATAGGAAAAGTTATTGTTGTTATGAGCTTTCCACTTGGTCAACCCTAAATTATCATGCACCTTTAAGCATGGATCTATCACTTTCACATATACAAATCCATTGTCTTTTAATCTTTCATCGTCTTCGCCGAGAAAGTTTTTATTAATGACTTGATTCACTGGTATTGAGAGACGATCATGACCACTGCTCAAATCAGTCTTGAAAAGTTTCTTCTGGATCACCAATTTCACTTGGTAACCATTCAAGCATGCAATATTTTCTTTGAATTCTTTTGGCAACTCTGGCGGTGGAGAGCGAATTGATGGAGCGGATGGTTTCGTGCTCCTGGCTTCCTTGGTCGGCTTCTGCTTCTTCTTCTTCATCATCATCGACGTGGTTGGTTTCTCTTCAAGATCCTCATCACAATCCTTATAGTATTCGTATTAACCTTTCCTGCTTCGGCTGCTGCTTCCGTAATTGAGCTTCCTGTCTTTCTGATGATAAGAAGCAGCAGCGGAAAGCTGCTTCTGCTTCTGCTTCTTCGTTTCTCTAACTTTCTTGGCCGCTTTTCTTTCAAATTCAACCAAATCAATCACAACTCTCTTTTGGAGCAAGTCAAGTTCTTCATCTCGGTTTCTCGCAACTGCTTTCACCTCCACCAGAAGTTTGTTGAAAGACTCAACTTCAAGCTTTCGCACATCGTCCAATGTCATCTTCCTCGCCATTTTCGATTTCTCGGAACTCAAAGATCACTAGTTCTTAGGTGTACAAACTGTGAATCGTGACTTAACTATTAAACAATGGAATTTCTGAAACGCAGGTGGAATTGAGATATCGAAGAATGCATCGTGCGATTTTGAAGACTGTACTGCTTGTAGGTTTTTATAAGAAAACTAAACACTTAATTATTATTATTTCCTAAACCTACAAGGCTTCGGATCCCTTACTTTCACTTGGATCCCTTACTTCACTTGGATTTTATTTATTTTTTACTTTCGGCTTTCCCAGTACTAGGTGGGAGTGATATGTTTTGGAGTCAATTTAATTTTGACTGACACTGCAATATTAATTAGTAACTAGGCGAAAACAAGTAAGAGAGAAGGCCAGAAAGCAAGTACCTAAAGTTGATTGCCAAGTAATAATTATTTACATTCCTTCTCCTCCCTCGACAACTAACTATTTAACTCACTAACGTTATCATACTTAACGTTAGTGTCATCCAAATAGTTGTTCTATTACACGCAATGATACCTCATACAATTCTAGGCACTGACATGGTTGCTTGCAAATTGAATAAAGTTGTCAATCCCATCCAAATATTGGTTATTTATATCTGGCAACTTAATAACTCTTTGTCCATTGTGCTTTTTTTCAAAGAATTTACTCATCATAATGATTTGATATATGCTTAAATTCACATAATCTACATATATTTCAATAATACAAACTCGTTAAGATGTACTTGATGCTGAAATATGGCCTTAAACATATGAAACCATCGTTTCTTCATTCATATATATCTTGACTAGAGAACCATCCGTCGATTAAGAAGTATGTACATATGTGTGTGTATATATCAATTAGTAAAATAGTTCCTCATATTTACAGACAATAATTTTCCTCAAAATACGATTAAACTTGACCTTCATCCATTTAATGATCCATACCTACAGAAACAACAGTCTCATTAATATTTTCAAGTGCTGTTAACTTTGATTCTAAACTTGAAATCATCGACATGTTCCATGGCTCCAAACTGTGACTAGTTTTTGGCATTGCTGATTCAATAGCTTTCTGCTGTTCCTAGCCGTCGATGGTTTAGTAACTTCCTGGATTTTTTTTTTTTTGATGAAAATCAGTAATTCTGGCTATCAATGCTATAATTAACAATATTTTTCTCCTTTCATCGATGGTAGCCTTACCTACTATCAGTGCTCCCATTATCCTTTTCTTTCCAATCTTTTTTAAGCTTATCAATTGCAAAGCAGAGATTACCATAGATAAAATTCTCTGCGTCAATCTTAAGTCGATGACCACACTTGAATTATACCATTAAGAAAAAGTTTATTCTTTTTTCTCTATAGTCTTCCTTCAATCACTATTTAACATATATAAAAAGCTTCTTGTGGACTTGCACTTGGTAAAACCTAATTCATCATGCATTTTCAAACTATGATCACTTATTTTCACTCCTAGTGTTCCACATAGCTTCAATTCTTAGTCGTGTTGTTCATTGAAAAATTTCTTATCAACTATTTGATCCTCTAGTATTGAGAGATAGTCGTGATGAATGTTCAAATGAATAGCAAATTTTTTTTTTTTTTTTGTATTACTAATTTCACCTAAGATCTACACAAAAAGTGAATCATGTCTTAAATTCTATTAGCAAGCCGAGCAACAAAAAAGGAATCGATAAAGATGGTCACATGTTCACTCTCTGATGTTTTCCTATGACTTCTTCAACTCAATTACTTTCTCTTCGTAATATATTCTTCAGCACAAGCAACTTTTTCTTCATCATGATTGGTTAATTTTGTTTTCAAATTGAATAACATCCATCAAAACTCTGTTAAAAAATCGATTTCTTCATTCCAGTCTCTTGTTACTGGTTTAAACTCTTCCAAAATTTTATTAAGAGACTCAAAATTACGCTTGTGAGTCTTTTCCCTATCTTCATGACTCATCATCATATAAGTCTTGTTCTTCAGTTCCTCGAAACTGAAGAAAACACAGTTCTTAATTGATTAATTTCTAAAACAAAGAATTGAAAGGTGATCAAATAATGTTATTTGGAAAAAAAATTTTGAGATAGATTCTTGGTAAACAACCAAAAGAATTAGGTATTCATACAGCCACAAGAATTATGATATACTTAATGATAACTTTTCTATTTTTATTTCACCTAGATTGTAATTAAATCATCTAATTATAGATTTTTAGTAAACATTGTTAAGATATTTTCTTATCTTATCCTTAAAATTTGTTCTTTTTCTTATGTAGTATAAGTCCATACGAATTAATTCAAATGAAGTCTAAAGATAAATTGATGCTAGAACATGACCTTAAAATTATGAAATTCATCATTTTGTCATTAAGATCTTGACTAGAAAACCATCCAACGATTGAGAAGCATACAAAAACAACAGTCTCATACCCTTCATCCAACAATTGATATAGCAATTATAAAAAAAATGGTTCTTAAGATTTACTGACAATAATTTTCCTCAAAATATGATCAGACCCTTCATTCATTTGATGATCTATACATACAAAAACAACAGTCTCATTAATCTTTTGCAACTGATGTTAACTTTGATTATAAACTTGAGACCATTTTTTTTGGTCATGGATGATTCAATAACTTTCTGGATGTTCTTTGTCGTTGACAATTTGGTAACTTCCTAGTTTTTTTTTTATTTTTTCAGTGAAAATCAGTAATTGTGGTTGTCAATACTAACAGTAATAATATATTTTTCCCCCTCATTGTTGGTAATCGATTTAATACCCTTTTAGCTATCAGTACTACCATTATCCTTTTGTTTCCCCTATTTTTTAAGCTTTAACTCGAAGCAACCCCACTTGAATTGTATCCTTTGCAGAAAGCCTATTCTTCTCTCTCTATAATCTTCTATCAACCACTGTTTAACACATATGAAAACTGTTTGTGGATTTTCACTTGGTAAACCCTAATTCATCACCTTTAAACTATGATCAATTATTTTTACACATCACAATTTCCAAAACTAATGTTGCACAAATTAAATTCGCATAGTCTACATATATTTCAATTACACAAACTCGTTAAGATGTACTTTGATGTTGAAAGATGGCCTCAAATATTTCAATAATTTTCCTCAAATATGATCAAATCTAACCTTCATTTGATTATCTATACCTACAGAAAAACAACAGCCTCATTAATCTTTTTTAGTGTTGTTAACTTCGATTCTAAACTTGAAATCACCGACATGTTTAATGGCGCCAAACTCTGACTAGTTTTTGGCATTGATAATTCAATAACTTCTTGTTGTTCCTGGTCGTCGATGGTTTAGTAACTTCCTAGATTTTTTTTTTTTTTTTTATGAACATCAGTAATTCTGGCTATCAATGCTACCATTAACAATATTTTTCTCCTTTCATCGATGGTAGCCTTCCCAACTATCAGTGCTACCATTATCTTTTTCTTTCTCATCTCTTTTAAGTTTATCAATTGGAAAGCAGAGATTTCGTCGTAGATAAAATTCTCTACGTCAATCTTAACTCAATGACCACACTTGAATTATATCATTAATAAAAAAACTTATTCTTTTCTCTCTATAATCTTCTTTCAATCACTATTTAACACGTATGAAAAGCTTCTTGTGGACTTGCACTTGGTAAAATCTAATTCATCAAGCATTTTCAAACTATGATCACTTATTTTCACTCTTAGTGTTCCATAAAGCTTCAATTCTTATTTGTGTTGTTTAGTGAGAAATTTCTCATCAACCACTTGATTCTCTAGCCTAAAGAGATGGCTATGATGAATGTTCAAATAGTAGCTAAATTTTTTTTTATGTATTATTAGTTTCACTTGATAACCGCACAAAAAGCGAATCATGTCTTGAATTCTATTGGCAAGCCTAGTAGAAAAAAAGGAATCGATAAAGATGGTCACATGCTCACTCTCTCTGATGTTTTCCTATGACTTTTCTTCAACTAGATTACTTTCTCTTCGTAATACTTTTTATATTCATCTTGATCTTTGCTGCCTCCGAAACCATGATTTATGCCTTTCCTAAGCAACTTTTTCTTCATCACGATTTGTCAATTTTGCTTTCTTTGGTTTGCTTTCAAACTGAATGAACTCCATGAAAACTATCTTTGTTAGCAAATCAATTTCTTTGTTCCGGTCTCTTGCCACTGGTTTAATCTTTTCCAAAATTTTGATAAAAGACTCAAAACTACGCTTGTAAATCTTTCCTCATCTTCACGAATCATCGCCATCTTTGTCTTGTTCTTTAGTTACTTGGAATTCAAGAAAACTTAAGTTCTTAATTGATTAAGTTTTGAAATAATGAACTAAAAGGAGAATCAAATAATTTTACTGGATAAAAGTTTGAGAGAGATTCTTCGAGATATAGGAAAAACCCTTTCCTTGGTGAATAAGCAAAAGAATTAGGTGTTCTTAAATCTACAAAAATTATGATATACTAAACGATAGCTTTTCTATTCTTATTTCACATGGTTGAAAATTAAATATATTTTTGGTAAACATTATTAAGATATTGAGATTTTGTACTTCATTGCCTAAGGTTTTTTTTTTTCCTGTCTAGTATGAGTTAATATGAATTTTCAGGTCCAAACAAATTTGTTCTTTGATTCCACCATGACATACCGAAATATTGTG